AACTCTACATATACCCTCTAACTCTATATCTACCCTTTAACTCTACATATACCCTCTAACTCTATATCTACCCTTTAACTCTACATATACCCTCTGACTCTATATCTACCCTTTAACTCTACATCTACCCTCTAACCCTACATCTGCCCTCTAACTCTACATCTACCCTCTAACTCTACATCTACCCTCTAACTCTACATTTACCCTCTAACTCTACATCTACCCTCTAACTCTACATCTACCCTCTAACTCTACATCTACCCTCTAACTCTACATTTACCCTCTAACTCTATATCTACCCTTTAACTCTACATCTACCCTCTGACTCTACATTTAGACATGGTTCTACTGTACTACTCTTCTCACTGTAGCACCGTGTTAATGTGATTGTTCTTAAGGTGCATTGAGCACAGTGAGCAAACAGAGCACAGGATTCCTGGAGAGTTTAGATCTTCCTGCTGTGTTTGGGCTCTGTCGATGGGAAGCATGTACAAAGTAAAGTCCTGAAACAAGTTCTTGTAATGATGAATCATGAAAGTGTGGATGGTCGCGAATCTCAAGCCGTCAAGGTGTTCAGGAACCTGTCAAAGCTCCGCTGTGTCATGTCATGTAGTGTTGCAGAGACACTCAGTCATCACACATACACACTGGATGGAGTTTAATACCTTCTTTGTGCCGGTGATGTTGTCGCGGTGTCAGATCGGGACTCGGCATCATCAGACACTAAATATTAAATGATTCAGATCAGACTGGGGCAGCAAAGCTTGATCGAAACATTTCACCGCTGAACCACTCAGATCACCGGGAAGTTAAACCGAACTCGTGTGCTCTCTCCAGACAGAGCTGAAGGCAGGCTGTTGGATGTGATTGAGTCGGACAGAACAAACTTCAGCTAACTCCTCCAATGAGGACGTTTCATCACTACAACACGCTGCTAAATTGCCACATTTCCCAACGAGGTTTGGCATGTCTCGGTGCCACACAGACGGAGCGACGTTATCAGGAAACAGCAGCATGTCAGTGTCAGGACGACTTTCACAGCCTGATTACAGAGATGCTGTCGGCCTCAATTATCTTTATGCTGGATGTGTAAGTGGGCGTGGGCGGGCTGTCAAACTGTCCACTGCGCCTTTAGTTAGATTAAGATAACTTCAGCATCCGTCCCACCGCTGAAGCAGTGTGCAGATAATCACCGCAGTCCACAGTCTGGTTTGTTAGTTTTACTTTAAAACGCTGAGTGGAGAAGAGCCGACTGTCACGAGAAGCTGAAGTCTGACAGCAGAAACTGTTTCGATGTTTTGGTGGCATTCGGACATGGCGGCATGAGTCAGCTGGGATAGACTCCAGCCCCCCACGACCCTAGTGAGGATGAAGGTGTAGAGATGATGGATGGATGTTGATTCCCGGTTTTTACATTTTGGTATAATCAATAATTGAAGGAGATCTTTATTTTTTGGCTAATTTTGTAGCAATATGGCCACAAACAGACACAAAACACTATGAAGACAAACAAAACCACTGTAAACAGATAAAAATGACTTTCAAGAGATTTAGAAAAAAAACATTTTATAGAATAAATAATCCAACAAATTCTACTTTTTTTTCTTTCCTCTCTGGTCTCCATGGTTCTGAGTCCTGCTGACAGAAGACATCTCTGAGTTCCTCCTTCATGTGGTTCTGGTTCCACAGAGCTGCAGGACTTTATGTTGAAACATGAACCTCAGTGAAGGAACATGAGGACAACAACATGTCTACAAACTGCTGCTTGGAGTTCAGAGGGTGAACCAAAACCTCCATTTATCCTCAAACGCGACCCAAACTGACTCTGCAGTGGGAGTCCAACGCCTCATCCGCCCTCCATCCACCCCGACCTCCTCCTGCTGACTTCGCTGCTGTTCTTTACATTCAGAGCTTCATTTGTGACTAAACTGCAGCCGATCAGAGTCGGTGCAGTACCAGTACCGCCATGGTACTGCGCTGGAGCTGGAGGTGTTGGTGACGAAGCCTCGCTGTCTGCTTCACCTGCGAAACTCCGTAAACGTGTTGAAAGCTGAACGTTGGCGACGTTCTGCAGAGAAACAACCACGCAGCAGAACTCCAAGTGAGTCACAACCTGCCGCCACCGCCGCCGGGCAGCGAGAGGCCAAATAATGAAATGTGATTGGTTGTCAACACCTGGCCGTCAGAGGCGGCCTCCAGGTGGAGATCCAGAACATCCAACCACGGCGGAGCAGGGAAGCCCCACCGCCAGAAACACACAGTTTAGTTTTAATTCCCTGAAACTGCTGCTCGCTGCTGTCACGGCCGATTACAGCGACAAGGAAGTGGAGACGAAACACGAGTCTAATGTGAAGCTGAGAGGATGAAAGAAGTCCAGAGACGCAGCAAAACCCACGAAACACAAACTACGTGAACTAAAAGAGAACACAAACAGAACATCTCTAAAAGGCGCTCACACTGGAAAACAAAACATCCTGTAAAAAAAGTGAAAATCTGGCGATAAGGAGGCCAGAAAACAACAGGCTGTGAAATGGTGGAATCCTGACATGATGATGGCAAATATCTGTAAAATAATGATGTTCTAAGCAGATAGACATAGAGTACCACTGTAGGCAGCGATGGTGGGCTCCTCGCCGTACTGTTTTTTTTTTTTTTTTGCATGAACACACCCTGGCCGGACTCTGATGTGGCGTGTCGAGTTTGGGGCAGATCAGAGCACGTACACGCCAGCGACGCAGCACGTCCTGTTCTATAGCGTTTCGGCAAAGTTCTGTGGGTCGCCATGTTGACGCCGTCAGACTTTTGCAGAGAATTTTAATAGCATTTAATCACCATGTTGTGTAGTTTGTGTTGGGCAAATGTCAGGTGTGTTCGATGTACCCTCTAGTAGGAAAATGGCTGAAAATGGCCCATAATGCTCGCTGTTTGTTCAAAATGGCGGATTTCTTGTTGGGTTTACGGAAACGTGCTGAAGGACTTTTTTGTGCGTCCCGACCTGCTACATATGTGTACCGCATTTTGTAGCTGTAAGTCAAACGCAGCCCTGCAATCAAATATTGTAGGGGGCGCAGTTGAGTCGTGTTGCATTTTAGAGCTTCGAGCGGCTGCACTTTTTTGTTCGTCCTAACCTGCTCCATATGGCTACCAAATTGTGGAGGTCAAGGTCAAATGTGCTTCCGATGGGACTCCGTTGAAATTTTCAAGGTGGCGCTGTGGAGCCATTTTGGCAGTAACATGTCCACGTCCCTTAACATATCACATTTTTCATCAGTCCTGATGTGCATTTCATGTTCTCAAAGTGCTTGCTTATGCTAATTTTTTGGTGTGAACAAAAACGGAATATCGACATCGGTGATATCGGTTATCGGCGTTATCAGAAATCTTAATATTGGTATCGGCCAGAAATTTCAATGTCGTGCATCGCTACTTAAAACCAGTTTTTTTTACAGTGCAACTCAAACGGATCTGTCGGCAGAGGTCACGGTTGAGGAGGAACTCGCTTGTTTTCTTATTTCTTTAAGTCCACAGTTGTCCAAATGATCTTGAAACGTGTCCAAACGGACAAATCTTTTGAGACGCCTTCAACAGTTTCTCGTCTCTGATGGTCTCTCTGAGGAAACACTTTGTTTTCATACAGAAACTGTTGATTTTAGGGTAGTTTTTTTTTAAAAGCAGACACGTAGAATAAAGTAGATCTGATAATTCCCTTGCGGCTGATAAACATTTTTCTGGTGGTTTTACAGAAACGCCTTCCAAAGCTGCTGCTGGCAGCTTCCAGGGTTCAGAGGAAGGAAACAAGTCCTGAGAGACGCTTCTGTTCACTGAAACCTTTAAACCCATATCATGATTCCAGATGGAACGTTCTGGATCATAATTTAAAAGAACGAAGGACAGAAGTGTGTTCAGTCCATAAAACATCATCTCCAGCTGCCAGTGAAGCGTCCTGTTTCTGCCTCCATGAGTTTAAGACGTCTGTGTTTGAGTGTGTGGAGGTTTAAACAGCCGGACGTGGTTCCACTGTTTGTTGCCTTCAGAGGGAGTCGGAGCAGATCAGTGAGAGGGTTCAGGTCTGATTCCCTGCAGAGCTGCGAGGAAACCTCCTGCAGGAGCTTCAGTTCCTCTTCAGTCGCATTATTCAGTCCTTCTCTCTCTAATCTATTTGTGTCTTTTATTTATTTAAACCGCTCTGAGTTGCATTGAAGGTGTCAGACAGTAAATACGACGTTATCCCAGTAATCACAGGAATAAATGTTGAAACTTGTCTTTTATTTAAAAATACATTAATTAAATTTGGAGAATTAGTAATTCAGGATTGATCAAACTTAAGACCTAAAATTAAATAAATAAAATAATTCTTTTTTTAAAAAAAAGAAAATAAATATGAATACATTGTTTACTATTTTTTTATATGAAATATTTGGTGAAACAATAAAAATGTCACTGTAATGTTTTGAAGCCTCTGAGCAATCTGAACACGAACAGACGTCTGGATAGTGACGCACAACACTGTGAGAAACATGATTTTATTGCACAAACGTGTCAATAAGTTGGATTTTAATTTAAGTATAAGTGTCAGTGGTAACCAGCTGCTGAACTCCTGAGTATAACCTGAATGAACGTCTCTAACCTCCAGGAGGACTGAGCAGCTAATACAGAGCTAATGCTGACTGAATCTGTGCTAACAGCAGCTAGCTGGTTAGCGATGCCAGCGATCATGTGATTGGCTGACCTCTGACCCTGCGCTGCTGTTGTTGTTGTTGTTGGTCTCAGGGTTCTACATGTACATCGAGACGTCGAGGCCGAGGTTGGAGGGCGATAAAGCTCGCCTGCTGTCTCCGACCTTCAACATGAACGCCAAGAGCTCCGCCCCCTCCGTCACCTACTGCTTCTCCTTCTACTACCACATGTATGGGAAGCACATAGGTGAGTCTGACACCTGCACCCGGCCGCGGCTCGCCATCGGCGTCATTGATAACCTTATTGATCGGCTGTCCGTCTGCAGGAGCGCTGAACGTTTTCCTGCGACAGAAAGGCCAGACGGTGACGGACACCTCGGTCTGGAGTCTGACCGGTAACCAAGGAGACCGCTGGAGGCAAGCCAAGGTCAACATCCAGCCAACCGCAGCCTTCCAGGTACAGGACACACCCACTTTACTTATAGCCACGCCCACTTGACATTAGATCATGCCCACATCTGCACACACAACAGTTTACCACAAAACCCTACCGATGGTACTACAAACTGTACTACAAACCACACTCACTGTACTACACGCTTTACTTCTAGCTCCACCCACCCACTTTAACAGAAACCACGCCCTGTTTCTGTCCATAGATGGTGATGGAGGGCGTCCGAGGCGCCGGGATCGAAGGAGACATCGCCGTTGACGACGTCACCATCGAGGAGGGGAAATGTAAAGACCCGCCCTCCAACAGTGAGTAGAAACATTGACGAAGTCGCCGCTTTAACATCAAGACGATACGAGTGTCTTCTTCAGTGGTTCTGTGACGCTAAAATGTTCGTTTTATGTTTACGTCAGATTTGTGTATTTTTGGCCAAAATGAGCTTCCATACATTCACTAGTAAACATACAGCTGCCATTTTGAGTCGCTTTTATGCTCTGATTGATTGATTGATTGATTGATTGGTAGTGTCCTCTCTCTCTCCACACAGATCTGAGGTCGCTCGCCCCGCCCTCGTCGCCCCATATATGGCAGCTCTGCATCATTCTGAGTCTGGCTCTGATTGGCCGGCAGAGGTGACCCCGCCCCCCTCTACAGGACGCCAAGACATCTGACTCTCCTGCCCCCTTCCCCCCTTCTCCCTCCCTCATCATCTTCATCTTCATCTTCATCGCCACCTTTAACCCCTCGACTACCAAAGATCAGGTCAGAGCTGCAGGTGTTTGAAGGTTTCCGTCGAGTTCATTCCTCTGAAGGATTCTGGGAATTCAGCGATGATGCAATGAGCAGATCTAGTGCTGATTGGTCGACAGGTTGAATCAGGAAATGTCATTTAGTGAGCTGCTGCTGCTGCTGCTGCTGTGATTAACGAAGACAGAAACTTCTAACAGTAAAAACACCAACAAGCAACTACAGGCTCCGACTGCTTTTACAACTTACAGTAATCAGATTACTTCTAAGTTGAGAATTTTCTCTGACGTCAAATAAAAATTCAACAGTTTAGATTTTAAACCTCAACTTTAACACTTTACTCTTATTTTACAGATTTTCCCAGTGAAGTACATTTACTGATTGTTGTATTTACACTTTAATGATTCATTCTTCTTCAGCAATTGAACATAAAATTACTTATTGTTGGTTTTACTGTATTTAATTCCAAAAAAAGAGGAAAAAATACAGATATTTGCTGATATTTTAAATGAAAACATCTGTATTTACAAATGAAAAATGGTAGATAATTGTTAAAACTCTCGTATTACAGATTCTCCTTGTTTTGGTAAATTAAAGATATTTAAAGATATTAATTAACATTTGACAAAAAACAGGCCAAATTTATTTTTTTTCTTTTTGTTCAACGTGTGATCACAAAATTACTGTTGTACCAAATTTAAATCCCATTAAAGTATCGTTATTTTACAGATATTTCATGTTATTTTCACTGTTTGTACAGTTTTTAAATGTTTAACATGTTTTCTGGCACTTTTGCTGCCGGCTTTGAACAAAAACAGGACAAATCTGTAGAATAACTGTGAAAACATGTTCGCACCATTTTCAGTCCTTAATATAAACACAGTCGTGACTCGATGATCCGACACTAAATGTAAAACCTTCTTCTATGTCGGATAGCAAGGCTGTCGGATTGTCCAGACGGAGGTCCAGATATGAGGAGGGCTTGATGCTGGAAGGCTCATTAGTTGTTCATTATTGTTCATAGTTGTTATAATAACTAGTAGGGCTGGTCCCAATAGAACTTTCTGGGCCCAGTTAATGATGAACATCAGAATATTTGTCCCGGTCGGGGGACACTTCCACCCCGGGGCAGTGCTCTGACGGGGTGGAAGTGTCCAGAACACACAGGCAGTACTTGGCTGCTGATGCTAGTTTAGTTAGCGCTCACACTTCTGTTTCCACCATCGGTGGCGGCGGGGGAGTGGCAGATACGCTCCACTGTTACCATCCATGTTTACTTCCATAAACACTGAGCACGCTCGCTGCTGTGGGATTGTTCAGTCAGATAATACGGCGTTATCCTGATTGATGACATTAAATGTCATGTCGGAGTCAGAATCCAAGGCTGTCGCTATGTTAAGGCTGTTTTTATGGGTTCTGTTGGTTTTTCCTAAAAACCTGTCAGATAGCAGGTTCTGGATTGTTAAGGATCGATTATCGAGTCACGACTGTATTTATTCTGTCACAGAACAACAAGTATCCGTAGAACAGTGGGACTTTTTGTTGATTTGACTCATAAGAAATTATCGTGTAATGTTATGGTCAAACATTACAGGAACAAATTACCTTTGATTTAAATAAATGAACTTATTTTACAGATAATTTTCACTATTTTCACTGTTTACAGTTTAAATGTTCCATTTTTTTTTACTCTCGCTGCCAGAAAACCTGCCAAAACAGCTGAAGGATTTGTTCAGCCTCTTTCAAATTAAAACAAGAAACATCGTCTCCGTTCACGCTCAGATATCGCAAAAGAACAAACTGCAGTTTAGAAAAATACAGATTTTTGACGTTATTTACAGTTTTGAAGAAGAAGAAAAAGAAAATCAGTGAACTTCCAGTGAACTGATGAAGGAATCATCCAGAACTGTTTGTTTGTTCTGCTCAGAATGTGTGTCGGCAGTGATCAAGGTCAGAGCAGACAGACCTATTTCATCCAGTTCTGTCCGTCTGACGCGTCATTAACGTCTCCATAGCACTTTGACAGTCTTTCCTCCAAAACGCCGACGTCCTGCAGCTCCGTCTGTCCCTGAACGCCTCAGTGGGAAGACTTTAGATTCATCAGCTTCAGCGACACTCTTTGACCTTTTAGAAAACAGGAGTTTGAATGTCGACCTTCCTCCTCCTCCTCATCCTCCTCCTCATCCTCCACCCCCCACCCCCCACCCCCTCCACAGATCAGCCGTACTGTACCGGGACATGGACGGATTTTAAAAACACTTTTAGATCACGTTTCGACGTCTGTCTGTCCGTCCGAGGAGGAGAGTCCAGCCTCTGCCACGACATCAAGTGCCTTCAGACTCGGAGAGGAGAAGACCTTTGGGCCGAGGAACCGAACGGAACCAGAATCATCGAGCGGCTCGAATATGCAGACAAACCGTTTCCTACGTTTTCTTTCTTTTTCATTCGGTTTGGAGAAGAAAACATTAAAATAAACAAGAGACATCAACGAAGGAGAAGAAGGAGAAGGAGAAGCCATGGACGCAGACTGAAGCGCTCTGACTGATTTACTGACTGATGGTTGGAGCAGCGACGGAGGTCTCGACACAAACTGGAAGCGTTTGGTCTGTCAGAACTATTTTAGTATTTAAAGTTTTCAGGAGGCGACTACCTGAGACCATCAGTTACCTTAAAAACAGGAGAAACGAAATGTAAAATCAAATCTTATATTGTTCCTATGATACTCTACAGACCGCGGGGGGAAACGTCTTCACACCTTTAAGCTCCATCAGCTCCTTCCTTCTGTTTATTTGTGTTTGTTTTGGTTTTGTGGGGGGGGGGGACTCTTTAAAATTTGGATTTTATTTTTGTTTTAAACCTTAAACCAGAGTAACCAGGTCTGATACACGTCATGCTGGGAGAATATTTCTATTCAAACTCCATTTAAAAAACAAAAAAAGCACAAAAACACCATTTAGTTCCACATGAGGTACGGAGGCACCTGTAGGACAAAATTCCAGATTCATCACCGTCACGTCACACATTGTACGGAAGCCCATTTCTGCCAAGAAGAGGGGAGAAAATATTAAAAACTTAGCATGACAATAAAAATAGTCACTATTAGTCTCTGAGAACTTTTATTAAATCGTGAAAACGGGAGGTTTAACCTACTTTGGATTAAAAGTCATAAATGTTTACTCACATTTTATAATTTTGACTTAACTTTAGAATTACTTTGACTTGAATGCGACTGTTTTCTGCTTTAACAATATTAATTATAAAGTAATAACTTATTGACATCGCAGCCGGCTTCATGTTGCTCTTGTTTTGTCTTGACATGTCATTGTTTTTTTTTTTTTACAAAGCTGTAATTTTTTTTTACTTACGATCACACAAACGTTCTGCCAAGGAAAAAACCTCCATGGACAATCACAGCATCTTCACTTGTTTCATTCGTAGGTCATTAATTTAAAAGTCATTCGATTTTCTCTTAAAAATCAGTATCTTCATCGAAAAGCTCAGATTTTCTAACTTTGATTTTTGTCATTTGAACATCTGACCTAAATGTTTTTTCAACGTGAATAAGTCATCATTTTAATTTATTTATGCATTTAATTTGCAAATATTATAACTTTCAAGAAGAACTTTTGATTTGCTTGTATTACTTTGTTTAGAAACTAATTATTTCTGACTTATTTTTTATATTTTTTCCTTAATTTTATGATTATTTTGTTGTGAAAATCACTCATTATGGTTTCTACTTTAATCATTTCTTCATACATCACAGCCGGCTTGAATTTATCATTATTTCACCTTGAAATGTCATAATCACAACATTTTCTTGATTTTAATTAGAAAACTGCCAATTGTTCACCTGTATTTATCATTTAGTTTTACTTTTATCTTTATTTATTACTTGAGATTATTCATTTTAATGTTGATATTAATAATTTCATTGAGACAGTTTTAATTTCTAACTTATTTTTGTAAAAACTGGCTTCTTGTTCTCATTATTCGGTCTTGAAAGGTCGCAATTGTGACACTTTTTCATCGTGTTGTTGGCTTCGCTCTTCCTCTTAAAGCTCATTTATTTCTGTTATTTTACGTCATCATCACCGATGATTTTACGACGGTAACTTTGACTTAAACTCTTTGAACTTCAACGTCCTCGAGGTGCTTTTTGTGTAACTTTCATTTGGGCATCGATGGGCTTCCGTACCTCAGCCGGCACACGCCGTCACGGTAAAACCACGTAACTGCCATTTTAAATCACGTGGTTTCAAAGTAATGATGTTATCCTTTAGCTTCTGTGATACGAAGAGTTTCTGAGTGAATGGACCCGAGCAGGGAACCGATCTGACTGACGGAACGACGACGGACGGATTTTATACGATTCACGGTTTCCCTGAAAACAACACGTTTGTGAAACCGTCAGACTGATGAAACCAGAAACGATTCCTCTGATATCTGTAGTTCCTCTTTAGTGTTTTGTTGACTCCTTCTTTGCTCCCGTCGAGTTTTTCCTCTGCAGATGAAGATCAGATTGCCGAGCGGCTCCTCTGGGTGTCGCTTGATCCTTATTATCACATTAACTCCACGTCGGCGCCGATAAGCTCCGTTTGGCTTTACAGCTTTATGTTCGCCAGTGTTTTTGAAAAGTGTCCAGATTGGAGCTCGTGTGCTGATTAAAATCCAAAATAAGCTTCGTTTAATCACGTTCTGCTGATACGAACATGTTCTGAACGTGTGCCGAAGCTTCTGAAGTGAAAACAGATTAACGCTTTTACGCCTCCTGAGAATTAAAACAAATATATCTCAAGTTAAGTCCAACTTTTAGTCCTTAAAGTTTAATTGAATCACAATGAGAAAGTCAAATATTTCCTTCTATATTACCTCCTGGATGTGTTTTAATCGTCAGAAACGTCTGAACTCAGCAGGAGAACTCAACCCATTTTACTTTTATCTACATTTGAATCAGTTGTTTCTTGTTTTTGGACATTTTCAAACTAAAATCTTTCATTCTGCACATTGTACGGAAACACTTTGAGGACAAATTTCTTCACCTCCACTCAATAGCCTGTATGGAAGCCCATTTCTGCCAAGAAGTAAATGTTGGACTTTATCATGAAAACAAGAGGTTTTAACCTTTTGACCTAAATGTCATGATGTAAATTTAGGAAGTCGTCATTTTTAACTTACATTTTTAGAACTGTCGCTTGATATTCCAGAAGTTTGACTTATGATTACGTAAACTTTCTGCCAAGGAACAAAAAATATTTTTTCTTACAAACAAAACAACAAAAAGACACTACATCACTAATCGCAAATTTGAATATTTTTATTAAAATTTTAAAAAAGATGTTTACAGCAGCAAAGCCTCGAAGTCAAAGGTTAAAGGTTGTGTTTTCTGCTGGGCCAGTAGAACTGAATATATCATATCGGTACGAGGTGGAAGTTCTTTGGCAATTTTTCCAAGAAAGTAAAATTAAGTTCTTTCCAAAAGGGTCAAACAGATGCATAAGGTTTTTATAAATCAGTGTGGAAACTGATCCTCACCTCCATCTTAGGGTGTTTTATCTTTTCTAATCTTGGTTGCAGTGTGGAATTAAATTCAGAAAGTTAAAGTGCTACCGTATTCCCTCATATGCAGACGATGTGGTTTTATTTCTGTCCAATCTATACAAGAACTATGAGCTGTTTTCTGGATATAAAAGGTATAAAATGCACTTTATCTGAAAAAATCTGAGAGATTTAAACCTCCAGCTGAAACATTATTGTCTAATTTACCTAAATACAATTACTGAGATTAGAAGATTATGGAAGAGTATAATTATTACAAACGGCCTTTATGTCGCTCATTCTGAGGCAGTTTTGCAAAAGTACAAAAATAAAACAGCAGAAATAAGCACAGAGAAGTAAATTACAATGAAATAGGACAAAAAAAGTTAAATAAAATGAATCAGGAGTCAAGTGTCATTTAAAAAATTGTTTAAAAGAAGATTTTTAGGTTTCTATCATTCTGAAGGCGCTGATCTGATGTTTTGAAGCAGCTGAATCCATCTTCGTCGTCGTTTTGTTTCTGAATATTTCCAATAATGCAACATGAAACTCTGCAGTGGAAAAACTTGTCCCGGTTTATCCCCGGAGCTCTGAGCTCTGTGTGTCTGTTCTAGGATTTATTTTTGGGGGGGGAATAAATAAAAACATGTAAAGTTTTAAAGAAGCCACCAACTGGACTCTGTGGAAGAAAGATATTTTTATAACTGTGATTATTCTCTGCAATACGTTCTCAGATCAGTGGGACTGACTGACGGCTACACTGCATTCTGGTTATTATTATTATTATTATTATTATTATTATTATTATTATATTAATAAATACACTACAAATGTAACTTTTAATTGTGTGTCTGTTGTGTTTCTTCTAAGACTTATGGGTAAGTAGTGAGACCCAGCGGCCATCTTGGTAACCAACAGACCAGACTAATCGCTAACGGACGGCTAACGAGTCATAATTTAATGGATACGTGGAAATAAAAACTCCAGTAGAATCAGATTTTAATATATGAATAAAAGTTCAGTGACTTTGCTTCAGAATATGATTTATAAACTAAAAACAAGTAAATTGAAGTAATGGTTTGAAGATTAAAAACCAATGTAACTTTTCATGGTGCTCGACTGAAACGCCGCTTTGGACGGCATTTTCTGCAACTCTGACTGCAGAGCTGCTCTTTATGTCACTAAAACTCAAAAGTGCGGCGCTCTCCAAGTTAAAAAATGCCGCTTTCATGTCATCACAAGTTGGTATCATGCTGCTTTAAACGGCGCAGGATTTATATATTTACAAAGCGCCAAAATTCAGTTCAAATCGTTGGCTATTTTTGGCACTTTTGTCTCTCCGTACAAGAGCTGTTAGGCGGATTCAGTAAAACAAAACCTTCTGTTGTCTCAGATTGATGTTTCAGCTGCTGACGTGACCGCGGCTTCACTTCAGAGAGTTTAGCAAAGATACTGTTAGTGGCTAAGCTAACAGGACACCTGGTCATGTGACTGTTGGGAGTCCGTAGAAGAAGACATTCTTAATTATTAGACTTTGGAAATGGAAGAAAGTTCAGAACTTCCAACCGGGTTGGTGTTGATCCAGAAAGTTCCTGTCAGTGTCTGTCTATGGATGGATCCATGGTTCTACTAGAACCCGGTCTCTGGTCACATTTCACCAGCTGTTGAGGCTCGAACATCAGTAGAACCTGATGAGGTGAAGTTGGACCAGACAAGGTTCTGGTTTAGATGTTTAGACTGACTTTATTGAAGGTGGACGATAAGAACCTCCTCGTACAGTTTCTCCTCTAAACCAGATGTTTTTAGGCCATTCCATGATTTCAGCGTCTGCAGACGGAGATGGGTGATTAAATCCTTCGTACCTGCAGACAGTTCCACGCTGCGTTAGATCTAACTGGACCCTAAGCAGATGCATGAAGCTGCTGCTCTCTGTCTGCAGACTGAACGTAGGAACCAGAAAGTCCAGAAATCGGTCTGGTTTCTGCTGTTTGGGTTCGTTCTGCCTCCAGTAACTGCAGAGAAACAAGACAAGACCGACGTCATTCATGTGAAACATGGACAGCAGACGTGAGACGAGCTGAACGAGACGATTTCATGTCTGGACGGAACCCTTCAATTCTCAGGTTTACTGGATCAGGATGAAAAAACGTGATTCTAATCATCGATCATGTATCCAGACCGTCTCTGTCCAGGTGTTGCACCGACCTGGTCTTCGTTTTTCTTTCCAGGTGTTACACAGACCCCAACATTTAAACGGGTTCAGTGTTCTGGTCGTTTCTGAGCCGCGACCAACAAAACATCTCACACTATCGTCACAACACATCTGCTCTCTCTGGTGTTACTGTGTGTCTGTGGTCGTGTTGTGTGTCTGTTTGTGGTCGTGTTGTGTGTCTGTTCGTGCCTTCAGTTTGTTAAAGTGAGTATTTTGTGTTTCGATGGCAGTTCTTGAGTCTCTGCTGCCACCTGCTGCTGAAACATGGAAGCAGCTGAGAGCAGACTTCAGATCAGTTTTATTGACTGTAGGACAAACAGTGAAGCTACAAGCATGTGACCAGGTTTACATCTGCTTCAGAGAAAAATAGTTTAAAAATACAAGTTTCACTAAAACCACGGCTCGTCTCTATCAGAACCGTGGCGCTGAGGCAGGTTCTGTTCCAGAGTCACTACAGTCTGAACAAACACACAATCACATACACAACATGCACCGTATGAAGGAACAGATTCTTCTAAATGATCTGCAGCAACACACAAGCAGCATTTCTCATCATACAGATTTATATAAAAACAGACTTCAAACTACAAAGTACATTTACTCGAATACTGCACTTCAGTTCAAATGTTGTGAATGTAAAACCGTTTAATTTACAGGTTTACATGAAATATGACACGTTGACACTCAGAGCAGTGCTCCAAATCCACAAAGAAAAACCAGAAAGTCAAAGACACACAACACAGAGAGACACACAACGACCACATAGAGACACAACAAGCAGAGAAGATGCACGACGACGACAAAAAGACACAACAGTAACTGAAAAAGAGACAAAATCACTGCAAACACACAACCAGTGTGTTTATTCTTTCTTAATCCTCCAACGTTGTTTTTTTTTCACGATTACATGAAGCTCATGTTCACCGAGTTTCTAGGAGTGACTGATGGAGGTGAAGCTCGGTGCGTTAAAGGACAGTTGGAGGCTTCGGCCACCAGATGGCAGCACAGCGAGGCCTGGAACACCTGGAACACCTGGCCCACCTGGCCCAGGTGCTCCTCCAGTCTCTATGAGGACAGCCCACACAGCCTCTCGCTGACCTCCCACAGCTTCCGGGCCACGGCGTCGTCCTTGGCCCGGTCCGTCACCTCCTGCACCTCGCAGCAGGCGAAGTAGCGCCCGCTCAGCGGCTCGATGCCCTCCTGCAGGGCGCAGTGCAGCGTGGTCTGGGCGCCGGCCTCCGGGTCCAGGAACAGCAGCCGGGCCACGGGCTCGATGAAGACCTTCTGCCACAGGCTGACGTTGCGGGACAGCTCGGTCCGGACCACACCTGCAGGAGGCCCGGTCCGGTTAGTAGGATACCATGTATAGATCTTTTTACAGCGTGTGAAACGTTACCATGGCGACAGGATTCATTTATGGTCACATGATGCAGATTCAATATAAACAGGTTCATGAGTGAAGGACTGAGAGGCTGCAGGTGAAACAACTTGATCCTCACAGAGACGGTTTGGTTCCGTCAGACTCAAGATGAGCTCATCATGCTGCTGTTACCCGCCCAGGTGAGCTGCTGTTACCCGCCCAGGTGAGCTGCTGTTACCCGCCCAGGTGAGCTGCTGTTACCCGCCCAGGTGAGCTGCTGTTACCCGCTCAGGTGAGCTGCTGTTACCCGCTCAGGTGAGCTGCTGTTACCCGCTCAGGTGAGCTGCTATTACCTGGGTGGACGCTGTAGCAGGTGACGTTGCTCCCTCGCAGCCTCTTGGCGAGCTCGTGGGTGAAGAGGACGTTGCACAGCTTGCTGTTGCAGTAGGCGTGGAAGAACTGCCAGCTGTACCTGCCGGTGCCCAGGTGTCGGTTCGCCGCCAGAGCCTGAACACAAGCAGCAGCAGTCAGTCAGCGGATCTCACCTGAACAGGTGAGTCTGCAGCATGTGCACGTGAAGGAATGTTAATGGGAGTTCATTTGGTGTCACGTGCTCACAGAGAACTCTAACAGGTTCCACATGTGACAGACGGAGCTGCAGGTAAACACATCAGGTGTCGGTCCATAACGACCCAGAACCTCCAGGAACCGGCAGCAGAACCGTCGTCTGGCTGTGAATCAGCCGGAGCGGTTCCAGCTGGTGTCTGGATCCAGCAGAGGTTAAAATATATAAAGAATCTGTAGAATTTAACCAAACTCGTCTTTAAAGGATGAATTTTTTTCTATTTTCTATTTTATGACATTTTAATAATAATTTTATTTAAATGTAGACATTTTTAGGAGTTTTATTGTTTTTGTTGATTTATTTTAATAAATATTTGTAAGATTTTTGTCAATTTGTTGAATAATTTAAAAGTTCTGTCCTTTACTTTCATTTTTTGTTGCTCATATCGTTTTATTTTGTACATTTGTGAGACTCTTTTTATATATTTTGATATTTAACTTTTTTTTTTAATTGTTACAAATATTTTGCTATTTTTGACATGTTATACTTCAGACCTTTTTTTCAGATTTTTTTATGCATTTAGTTTCTCGTTTTTTTCTCATTTTTTTCTCATCTTTGTCGTTCTTGTCGCCTCACTTTTGTTTTTGTTGTTTTTATTCCTCACAAGTTCAAATGTGTTGTTTTCAGGATATTTTATACTTTTTTACATCCAATATTATTTTTTTATTATTGTTTTGTTCTGTATTTTATTCTTTGACTTTTTCTTAATATTTTTCTGACATTTGAGTCATTTTATTAGTTTTTCAGGGGGTTTTTTTTTTTACATTTTGTTCAGACTTTTGGATCTTGTCTGAGCTCTGATTCCTGTTCTCACCATGTTCTGGTCGTTGGAGGTATTT